TATGTATGTATGTATGTATGTATGTATGTATGTATGTATGTATGTATGTATATATGTGTGTGACCTCGTTGAAACGTCGCCAAGATAGCATTTGTGCTGATAAATAAATAAAAGGGAGACTAGTATAAGATCTATTTCAAGCTATTTAGCTCTCATCAGATAGCCATACCCTTACTAGGATTGGAACCTGGGCTGTTTTTACCTGTTTTACATTAACCTCTAAGCCACAAGCTCTCCTCCCTTATCAGCTGAGCCAAGGAAATGATTAAGTGTTATGTCAAAGCCCCTGGTATGCCCAAATATGGCAGGGAGTATACTGCTCCCCTTTTCCTTGCCACCAGAAGTAGAGGATGCTCCACTACTGGACTTCCAAAGGTCCTTCTTTTCAACAGGCAACTGGTCTTTCTGGTTTTTTCTTTTAAGATGTTTCAATTCACATCCAAGAAGCTTCTTCGGCTCTGACTGGATGGAGGGGAAGGGAAGGATTTTATATTCCTTGCAGACAGCTGGTCATTGGCCTCCTTTCAAAAGGTCGTTGAGGTCACTTGGAGGTTTGTCTGTAGTCTTCAGGGTCACCTGAGTCATTTGCAGTAATACTAGATGACCTCGGAGGTCATCTAGTCTAACCCCTTGCTCGTGTTCGAGCAGGAGACCCTATAGCGGTGGTTCTCAACCTGTGGGTCGGGACCCCTTTGGGGGTCAAACGAGCCTTTCACAGGGGTCGCCTAAGACCATCGGAAAACACATTATTTTCGATGGTCTTAGGAACCGAGACACCAATTTTATGGTTGGGGGTCACCACAATATGAGGAACTGTATTAAAGGGGTCGCGGCATTGGGAAGATTGAGACCCACTGCCCTATAGCACCCCGGGCAAGTGGTTGCCCCATCTCTTTTTAAAAGCCTCCAGTGGTGGACCATCCACAACATCTGGAGGCAACGTGATTGTGCTGATGCTACGTATTATCATATATGGTGGACTTGTAAAAAAAAGTCAAAGCTTTTTGGATAAAAATATGGTGGATTATTCAAAATATTCTTTTTTTTATTAAACATTTTTGAAAAAAAAAACACAAACTTTTACAAATGTTTA